ATGGAATACCGTATTTGATTATCACAAGGAGAGTGAATGTTGAGTCACTAGCCACTGTAAATATACATTTCAATTGTAGACATGTGCATAGTTAACTGGCCTGGCAGTTGTTCAAATAGAATGACACATATGTACACAAAGATGTAATCATTTTCCTTCAAAAGTTTTAACAGGGCTGGTAGGCGTCATGTGAAATCATTAATCTAGAAAATGAAGTTCGTTTACAAACCCTGTCCGACAACTCTCTGTCCGGTCGGAAGCTCTGGCGGTTTGTACAACGTGCCACTTATAACTGTACGATGGAGGGCTGACTTATTATGCAGTATAAACACTATTGGTTTTGGATCAGCTGATCACATCAGACCCAAGGTGGAAATAAAACTCAATCAATGAATGTTTGCCCCAGTCCAACGGCATGTGGAATGTTTATACGTGGGCTTGCCGTGAAGAAAACGATAAGGCGGTGAAAATTACAACCATGGATGAACTAACATCAAAATTCATGTCTTCTTCAGCGCTCTTCGTAATTAAAAGAGAAAAAAAGCGTTATTGAATTAATCTGGATCAAGAAAGACATTAAATATGCGTTTTTCTTTGAGAAGTATCCGTTCTGATGGAATTAAGTAATTAAGTTAGAAACCTAGACCAGTATACTGTTAATCTGTAATATAACACAAGTTAACACTGACAATGAAGACAAGATAATTTAATTGTTTATAATATTGATCAATATCCACAGATTATAGGAAAAATGATAAGGGTTTGTGGAACCCGAGAAGTCTATAGTGTTACACGTTAACAACCCCATCGGCAATATTAGTATGAAACTTTTGTACACACCATGCAAACATCATTATTTGATATCACTTAATACCGAATATTATTTTGGTCTTTCATTGAGTAGTTACCAGTATCAGCAGTGAACGTGAAAGAACTCTAATGTTTTTATTAATTAATCTTTTTGTTTGTTTTCCTGTATTTCTTTCTTTTTTTTTCCTTTTAAGTGATAAGTTACCGTGAAGGCATAAAAAATCGAGACATTTGGTTGACATTGTCATGGTCATATCCAGTAGTGATTGTGTGTTAACCCTTCTGCTGACGAAAAAGATAACATTTTTGTAAGAGGAATATAATTTTTTATCTTGGACTGTTGTAAAAAGATAAACGATAACAGTTTATTTATTTGAAAAAAAAAAACAGCTAGAAATCCCAACATGTAAACATAATCATAATCCTGACTCAAACTCAATAAAACGAGGACAAACTACAAAGAAAAGAAAGAATACATGGGGTCTCCTGAAAAAACAGTACAGTGACGGACCATGTTTTCCGGAAGAGTAAGCGTATTCTGCTTCATCGAGAACACCTGTTATGTAAATATTTGTCAATCCAAGTACGAAGAGAACATGGAACACATAATAGAACCAACAGACAAACTTCCGATAATCAAACACATCCAAAATAAAATATATCTCAATAATAGTACTATGACTGCCTTCCCAACCTTCCCATATTTTTCATCAACCTGTATCTCTTTAAACCCTATGTTATAAATTTGTAAGTTGACGACATCTTCCACAAAAATCGACAGCACTTGAATTCCGAATCAATTGCGACATGTTAAAATCCATATGTATATCAAAAGTATGTTAAAAAATCACCAAACTCGACAAAGATGTCAACTAGAAACTCGATCATGTTGATGATTTTATCTCAGTGTATATCTTTTTGGTTTTTTTTTTTTTACGAATTTAGTATAGTTCACAACCATATATCTATACCACCCTTTATCTTTCTTGAAAAAGAAAGCTCTTATAACAAGGGAACGATCATGTTCAGATTGGGGTATGGATACATACATAGTCGAAAAAGCAAATTTTCTTAGAAACCTATAAATGATAGTATATTCTACTGCGAATAATTGTCATAAATATAGACAAAGTCCGGTTGAAAATGGTATGAATTCTTGTAAAATTTGGAATCCAATATAAACGAAATCGGTCCTTATCACTAATATGCAATTTTAATGATTATAATACAGAATATGATTAGTCAATGCTTTCCTTTGTTATCGCGCAAGCATAGTAATGTCTGGAGACATTGCACAATAACGTCACTGTCACGTAAATATTCAACGGTGAATTTTACATGTGGATCCATGAAAACTGACAGGTGTTCCTCGATAAAAATGTCATGACTTTTGGTCTCATTATCATGGTCATAACAATTATCTATAAAAGAGATTTGACTTAAAACGTAATGATTTCTATTTTGCTTTAAGTTATACTATAACTCAAACAATCTTCTCATTTACTATTGTTTTAATAATATTTCTGAAGGAGTTTGCCATTCTGTACGGCAATAAAGCTGTATGTCATGCATTGGCTAGGATATTCTTGACATACATAATCAATAATTAAAAAATATCAACTATTGTGACGTATCATGTAGCATTTCATTATTCAATTTATGAAGTTAACTTTTGTAGTTAATTTATTATAAAACATTCAAAGACCATTATATATATGTGACTTAGTAAAATACATAAATCACAATCTGAATAATCTCAATAAAATCACATCTAATTTAGTTTTAAATGATCAGCGTAACACGTTTTTCAGGAAGTCACTCCAGGGACAATTGCTATTATACCACAGTAATATTGATTTACAGTAGAGTTAGCTAGTCGAACATGTTTTACATAAAATGCTATATATTCTATAGCTGATTATATTCGATGAGAATTTAATTTCGCTCTATACGCAGTCCTTAAATAGTGTTTGAAAATGAATATCAAGCGAACAGTTTTACAATGAATCAAAATCACATGCAAATATGTTCTTAACCTGTATACTAATCAATAGATTAGTCTCAGCCACGAACTTAGCAACTACTCAGTACATTTGTGTGTATGGTTATCATGAATACCAGGATGAAGAAAAAATTATCTTCATTTGTTAATTCACGACAAACTTATGTAATTTACCGTACGTTCCGACGTTAAATTGCAATTTTGACATTTTTCGTCGCTACCAAGGAAACCATTATATTATAACAAATGATTCTTTTTTCATTACTAAACAATAACTAACTTTTATATTAATACATTGCTGTTTATCACAAATTGTACCATGGAAGTAAGCTGTGTATTTTGTAATTTTGTCAATTACCCAACAAAAGTTTAAAATTTTCTGGAATACTATTTCACATTATGATATCAAATAAACACCTGACAGGAATGGTTTGGGGCCCTGTTTAGGTGTGACGTTAAGTATGACCTCTGTCATAGTGACCTAGATTTATCTGTTACGGTGACCTTGATACATATGCTAATCTGGCAAACTGTCAATGATCTGGAGAGAGTGAATAATAGATGAATTTCACACAGTGTAATTAAATAATCCTCACATTATCTGTTAAGTCAATCAGTTCAATTGATTGTTTATTCATGGTCTGTCGAACACGTGTTTGTTCTTATTGTTACGAAATCATTCCGACTCAAACATAATAACAGACTCCTGACATTTGTGGGACAATGTGGTCCTATGATACTTGAATTGCATCTTTACCGTTACTGAGGCACAGGACAAACTAACGGGTTTAGGATGTATTATCAGCTTTTGAATGCTGTTTCTTGTATCAATGGTTTAAAGAATGAAAATAACAGTTTTACTTAAAATATCATATTTTGTTTGCGCTACGGATAAGACAGTAACTGGCCACAAAGGACTAGGCTCAAGTATGAAAACAAATTTTAATATATCGAACATTACATGAAAATAAATTTAAGGAAAGAACAAAAAAAAAAAAAAATTAAATAAATAAATAAATAAATAAATAAATAAAATAAAAAAAATAACAATTAAAGCACCAGTTCTTTATGGAAATCGAGGCAAAGCAAAGAAAAGAAAAACCCCTGATGATATATCAAAAGTTCTTTTCATGAAAAGAATACAACATTATTGGTTTAACCTTTTCAAATAAATATAATATATCGTTAAAATGTAGGAAAACTGGAGTATCGTTTAAACAAAAAACCTTTTCTCTACCCTGATGTACACCATTGAAAATATTTTCATGTATGGAGGGGATATAATGCCTGCTGCCATTCACAAGGTAAATATGCATTACTCACCAGTTTTATTGTATACATGACGTAGACGACACAGCAACATCAATAATAATAATAATAATAATAATAATAATAATAATAACAATAATAACAATAGTAATAATGCTAATAATAATTCCCTGCTTAATCAAGTAATACAAATAGTTTAATTGTTTTTCATTGATCATACCATATATGAAAAAGAGAATTAAAATGCAAACTGCTTTATATCTAAAAGTGGTTGAATTCAGTTGCTTTCTTCTAACATAAGCCTGGAAATTGAGCGTAAAATCCAGCAAATTGTGCTACACAATAATTTCTTGAGCCATCACGACAGGAAACAAGCCAGAAAGATTTCTTTATTTTAATCATTTTAGCTGTTTGTTTAAACAGTAGATGATGTCAGTAGTTAGATTGCACAGTGGTAACACACTCACCATTCACAATGGTAATCGTGGTGTGATTCGTCAAGTGTAAACGAAAGAGATAAGGTGTCAACTTCCTGACCACGTGTTCCAATAATGAGATCCGAGTCATGTTTAAATCTGGGCCATCATTAGCTATTGATTAATCATGCTGTAACTGGTTTTATAACAATTGTTATAAACAAACGATTAAAGAAATGTCATCCGCATGTTCTGTTTATATTTAAAAAGAATAAATAAGGTAAAACAACATCATTATTGTAATATTAATTGTCAGTTTGTATTGGTTACATTGCTGAGTTCTGTTCCCGGATAATAACTTTTATATAACGTACCCGTACACGTTGACGCATGGTACTGATACTAGAAGATGTACATCAATCTTAAGATAAATTCGATAAAATTTCGACTCGATTGTCTGATCTCTAACATCAACCATACACCATGTTGTCACGAACTTTCTATCATTCCCATGTGTATCGGAACTTTGAATCTTTCATTCGCTGACCTAAAACTCTGTCGAATTCCTCGCTTTCTGCTACTTTAAACCAATTTTTCCAATCTCCAATTTGACCTGTGGAAAGAAAGATCAACTTAGGATGAAATCATTACTATAATTCTTTGACTTTTAAAATCAACATGAGAGTGATAACACAAATACTATTAGTATATGTCTGTTTTCGTATTGTATTACACAAACATAAATAATTCAATAACTTGACCATTCTTTGAGATTGTTCAGTGCATTTGATCAGCGCAATGTGACCTTAAGACTAGAAAGTCAAGACATTTTTGTTTTACTACTACCTTAATGAATTTAGCATTAATGAATAAATAATAAAGTAATTTATCAAAAGAGAAACACTGAAACTAACATAGAGTGGGTTTGGTTCGAATTTATTTTGAAAATAAAATAAATGGTAATAAAGGAATTATTATTATTATTTTTTGTAATTAACAGTTTATTTACAAGGATACAGAAAATATTATCACATTTCATTTTTCGTTTAAAATCTCACAGCAAACGACGTCCAATAAATAAGTTTTCTTTTGGTTAAAATCGTAAATGAGATTACTTGCTCATCAAAAGAGAAACAGAGATTTACCTTTTCGATACATTACTGTCTGCGTCCGATCCTTTTTAACTTCAGCCAAGGCAAGTTTTTGATTTCTCATATTTTCGAATCCACAACACGTGTTAACCTTGCACACGAAGTCATCGTCACAGTCTAGTTCTAGAAATTCTGCAATCCGCTTAATATTTGTTACACCATCCTGTTAATCGAAGTACGCTTTTATTGTAAATAATTACATAAAACAGTCCAGACATCATATCACGAATCTTGAATGTTAACATCAAGGACGTATGACAAGAAAGTTTAGATTTCCATTTAAAAAAAGAAGGATATCTTACATCAATCGTGTACCAACCCTACCAAGATGTATGGAACGCAATGGATTTAACTTTCTGTATATTCTACGTGTGTTATTGCATTTAATACATATTTATTGCTACCTCTGACAGTTCAAATGTCATTACAGGTTTAAGGTAAAGTGCTAATTACTTGTCCATTTAATAAGGAATATGCTTCTTGTATACGGGAGCTAATGTATTTGCAAAATCAGGAATTAAATGCCCAGGATGGAGATAATATTGTAGCACTACCATGGCTGGAACACACTTGTTTGATTAACATAACCTTAGTTGAAGTTTCACTGGCAGAAAAAAGTTAGCTCAGCAATTTATTATAAGAGTAAATGTATATAATTACTTAGCGCTTCTTTTTTTAAAAAAAAACAATCTCGACTTTGGATATTTAATGTGAAATATAAAACAGCCTTATGAGAGGGACATTTGATAAAGTCAGACTATTGAAATTTGACCGTTGAGAGGAACTTTCCACTCTTGTCAAAGAGTATCAAACAAATCTCCATTACAATCATCTACATGCATTGCGTCATGGAAATACACTTGTCAAACGTTTATTTACTTGATTGAAGGGTACCAAATGAACTTTCCCGTTGTCTCTCAATCAATAGCATTGAACTTCCATTTGTATCAGGCATATTATCAATGTATGCATAGATTTGTACTCTGTATTCACGTGTTACTTCTCGTTTGAACTAAGGTAATGTATTACTCTGTAGTATGCCTGGTGAACTTATTCATCGAGTACAGAATGTCTTTATCAATGCGGTGTGTCTGTTTAGCGGTATCCGAAAAAAGAGCACATTACATCAGAGAATAGTTATTGCGTTCGTTACCTTTATGATAACAAATTTTGATGCACACATACCAGACATTGAATAATACAGATCGTCAATTTTTGAACTTAGCACTTTCTGCCAGCTACCACGATCACTGTAATAGGCGACAGAGGTTTTTTATTCCGATCTCCCGCACTTTGAATTATGGTACCACGTCACCGAGGTTTCGGAAACAGCAGATGCCATTTCTGCTTGCACGTTTTATTTTGCAATAAGACCCATGCAGATGTCTTGAGGATATGTGGCCTGCATATGTACTCACCAAGATAAATTATTGTTTTACTATATGCGAAGTGTAGATTTATATACCTTATTTGTGTTCGTCTTTTTAACAATTGTGAATTTTCCATTTATTTATAAAACATCCTTGCATCGTAAACCTATAGTGTTTACATGTCTCTGCTGATTCAATACTTAAGGGCATGTTCCTTAGATCACTATTTATCGTCCAAGACGTTAATTACTGGCAGTCAAATTCATCACATGTGATTTCGAGAGATGCAGGTTTACGGTCATTAAAGTGATTCATTGAGAAAACTTACTCTCTTTAAATCTTCATAATAAAGCTGTAATACAGGAACATCTTTGAATGTACTGGACAGGGCGGTTTCCCAGGCAGTGGTGTAGTCAAACCAGTTATGAAACAATGTAGCTGTAGATAACAGGCAATATGTAGGTACGTTTACATTACATAGATTATTTCACTGAAAATTGAAGGTGGATTGATCACATTTTTGCCAGTGAAATGTAGAGAAATATATCAATTTTAAAATGTGTTATTTTTTCACTCGTGAACTTTTACAGACTTACGCCAGTAAGAATACAAATGATCTGAAAAAATTGACAAATCATATAGCCCGGTATAAAAAACACAAAACCAGAAACCTGAAGGGGTTGTTTACTTGTGACACGACCTTCATTTCCATGGTAAACATATATTTCCATTAAAGTCAGCAAACAATACAACGCAAATTACCTTATCAGAGATCAAATCTAATCTCCATCCAAACGTCTTGAATGTGGAGCTTACACGTTATTCTAAAGGAATTCAAGAACGGCAACACGGGGGCAAATTAATAGAATAAATGAAACTGGCTACCGGAAGAAATATTTACAAACAAATTAAAATTGTTTCGATCTGTACGATTTGTTTGTGCTCATAATTGAATCAAATATCTCAACATTATTTTCTTTTCTGAACTTTTCTGTCTTGACAAATCATCGAACTCGCCTAACTATTGCCTTATATCAGTACTGATTTCATAAACTTTTAAATCGTTTCATTTTGTAACATATTATTTTGCATCAGCTGTGTTATCTAAGCTTGCAGTAGGATAAGTTTTATTCATAGAAATCCAAAAATAACAAACTAAATATGTCGATATGACTGACCAGAGGTTTTGTCAAAATGACAGGTTTATCAATTTTCAGCAACATTAATATAAATTTCTTCCGGAATGAAATAAACAGAATTGTAATGACAAAGCAGGCTTGGGAACCATTCAATTACAAAATTTCATTATCTTGGTAAACGTCATCAGTATTGCTTGGAGTGAGAGGAAAATCAATCTAATATTATCATTTAACACGCGGATAAGTACCATTTATTGAAGAAAGATTCGTCCATATTTCATTGAATTATTAACGGAAAAATAAATTTAATACCCGATACAACAATATTGCAAAATACTGAAACGGTATTTTCGGACTCCGTTAGTATCATCTGTTGATATCATTTAATTTCATATTGTAATAACTAAATAGAGTGTAGTGAATTCATCAAAATTTAGCAGTTAACAAAATGTTTGATACGCACATTTATACAGTAAAGTTTATAATTGACCAGGGATGCTGGTATATACTAATTTAAGTATTATTTTCTTCATTGTACTCATGGTACAAAGTGTCGCTTCACAAGATTTCAAAATTGCGATATTGCCAAATCAGTTCGACAAGGATGAACAATATATTTGTGATTTTGAGCCAATGAAAAATGTCATTTTATTTTACTGCATTGAAAAAGAATCCGTGCTCATGAATGTTAATAAAACACTTTGTATCCGTTTATATGCCAAATTACATGCTATTGTCTATATATTGCACATGTATCTGCTAATTCATAGATCAAAATGTATACAAAATTATAAAACAAATGTCACATAGGTGAATTCAGTCGTTAATGCGGTGTCATTCAAATGCTGCTAACACATTTTAATGAAGGATTTTCACCTGTTATCCATTGAATGCACTCACGTGATATGTTTTAGTATATGTTACTAGTGTAATTTGTCCTAGAACCTTTTTCATTGGTTCGCCTGTCAAAAAATTGATTGTGATGTCATAATAAGGGCAATGACGTTACGTATCAGGATTCGGAAATGACGCAATCTCTGTCTGATTTTATCCTCCAATTCTTTTACTTGAATACCTCTAAATTGATGCAACTTTTCCGAGTTATAAGATAAAATGTATCCTCAATTTGTTTCCATTTCATATATGTTTTTTTCTAAAAATAACCTGACAAGTAATTCCTTTTGTTAAAGGATCTAAAAATAAACATTCTTAAGGCTCGTCTAAAACATTCTCGAATGAAATCAAACTCATTTAAGATCCTATGTGTTATGTAGCATAATAAGGATAATTAGATAGAGCATGCGCATCAGTTCAGTATAGCAAGGATTATATGCCACTTTGTCATGACGTCATTTGCAATTCACTTTTTGTAGAAAGATGTTATTATATTTATTTATACCAAAGATATTATTAGAATTTGATTCAATAGCAGAGTAGATATGAAACCTATTCCAAACTGTACTTACCCTTTTCTAGGAAGACTTGGACGTAAGCTGAGAAACTACAGGTAAAATCATGGAGTTTGGTAAGATGATGGTAATCTGAGACAGCAATGTCCTTGGGATTCCTCTGTATGAATATTATCTTGTTTTTATTGTTTTGGACAGAGGTCGGAAGTTGTCGAGGCAGTAGATGGCTGTTGAGAACCCGAGGAGAAGTGATAGCGTTAAGGTGTTCAGGTGTTCGAAACTCCAACATACAATTCTCTTTTGAATCTGGGTCGTAGTCAGTTGTTCCTGACAACAGCATCTTGCATATCTCCCACACCCAATGTGTACCTTTTTTGACAATGAGAATGCATGGCATTTCATAATTGTAATGCGACTGAGTGCAATAACGTTGTATACGAAGCATTTTCATATGACTGACTGTGATGAAATGAGTGAATAACCAAAAACCTTCACTCAAAAATATACATTTGTACAGACTCAGCATTTTTCAATCTTTTCATGTTTTCTCTATTACTTTCAAAAACCATCGATCATTTGCTACGAAAAATCATATATTTGCGTCTGGTTTATATGGGATTTTGAATAACTGTTTAGTGTAGCTCTTTTATGAAAAAAGTCGTTTCATAAACCTGAGGAATGAATAATGATCAATAAGTCATCATTGTATCGTTATACAAGGATATGTACTGAAACCTATTGTAAGAATCTTGCTTCATCTTGAAGATAACAGACAAAACCTGGCTAAAAATAATCCACTGGACTATATCAGTGGTGTTACCAAGAAAGTCTGTTATTTTTATAGAACCTTAAGTAAGGTTGGTATGGAGTGGATCAATTCCCCAAAACACAATTAATATATAGGCATTCGATTATTCAATATGTATTCTGCAATGTGTTATAAAACATAAATTCTATAAATTGAAATTATTTTGACAACTTCATCCGTTTTTCTTGATATATATTTACCTGCTTTCATGAATGCACAAATAAAGATATCATCATCTCGACAAGGGAGTTTAGTCGAGTTTGTTATTGAAGGTATCAGGCTAGGTGTTTTATTTTCCAGCAGAAAATCCATACTAAAATGTGTGTTGTCAATGGATATCATGGATTTGGAAGTTCCATCGGGGAAATGGAGCTCGTAGACATCTTTCTCGTCATATACAACTTTAGAAGAAGAAAACAAAATTATTGGCACATCTTCATTAGTAAAACAATAAAGATAATGCGTATGGTGGTGAAAATGTTGAATCAGCGACACTAAGGGTATACTGATTTCAGATTAAAATAGAAATTGAAATAGATTACTTTTTTAATTCCCCCCTTTAAATAATTAGCTAAATACAACCATGAAATATCATGTATGTCGTCAACATAAATCCATACTTCGTCAGAAGACATAAACAATAGGTACGAGGGCTAAAAAACGCATGGAAGGGAAATAGGGATACGTTTTATGTACTATCCAGAAAGGTTAGCGGCTTTTGTTTTATGTTGTATCAAATTTATATAACATGATATAACTTTTACTCACCGTTAACAGGTGGGTTCTCCATTTTCGTTTAACAAATGCCTGCAGTGTCGTAGGTGGAAATCAATGTGTTCGAATGATATGATATTTCTACAACAAAATGGTCCAATATTAGTGTATATACTGTACATCGTGCTTACTTTCTTATATAGCACAGCACAAGTTTACAAAAAGAATTGAACAATTGAAAGAGGGACACATTCTGAAAAGAATAATGTCCTATTATCATTTTGTTTTTTCGATCACTTTTGATTTTCCGCCGTTGTATCCTAAGCTTCAAAATGTAGGCACTTATCATCGTTGATGAGTCCTAGAAGGATGAAACAGCTGTATAATGTAGTATATTTCATTGTTTTGCATCTAACTTTAATTTTGCAATAAAGGTGCTATTTACTTGTGAGGTTTTTGCACAATCTTATATAGTATTTGAAATAATATCAATCAAGTTCTTTCTATACATTTATAATATATCTTAAATGTGTAGTTCTAAGCATCATTATTTAGTTGTTTGATAATTATACGAGCGTTATGTGTAGCTGGACACGCACGACATTTTAAGATCTAACAGTTGGTACATTACGATATGACAACAACTACATAGGCACAAACATGTATTCTGGACATGTAATGCTATATTGGTTTACAACAGTTTTACAAAAGACACCTTTCAATTCATGTTTTAGAATTAGTTATTTTGTCAGGATGCTAACTCTGTACCGTTTTCTTGTTGCCAGAAGTTTGTTATCTTGCTTCTACGCTGGATTTGCTGTTGGCATCCATCAATTTTTACAGTATGCAAACAGTGCATGCGCTCGTTGTTTGCAGACTTCCTTGAGTTATGTGTCGCCGTATCGGTTCAATATTTGATGAGGATATCTGTTAATTTATCATAGAATTTATCAGGAACCCATCCACCCACCCACCAAGTATAATGTGTAATCAATTTCATACTGAAGTTCATTAAAGCATTGCTTTGAATTGATTTGAAAACTTTCCCGAACTGTTTATATTTGGTTTAGTCATTAAACGCGACATTCGTTGACTTAATTCATTACATTCGCCATCACATTGTTTCAATATTGATAAAAGATTTCAAGTTTGCACAAAGCAATTTCGCGCATGGTTACTTTCTAACGACTTTTCACATTTCCATTGCGCTATCCTTAAACCTTATCTAAATGTGAACAGATTCAACACCTTTGTCGGAACATTATTTTTAACAAAATACTACATGTTACTAATGTAATATATTTGTACGAGAATCGAAACTTGTGAAAATTAGGATAGGTGTTTCGTATCTTTAGTCCTATATCTATACGTCATTTTACCTAATTACATGAACATTTGTCTTTTTCGATTTTTCTGTCAGCGACATAGAGATATGGCGTTGAAGGCGTACCTAATCGCAGTCTCCCAAAAGTACAAACACACGACACAAATCCACACCTCGCATAGGTAGGGAGACCGTTCTTAAATTACCTAAGCTGTTGATTTGACGTTAAGCAATATAAACAAAACTTAATCTGTAATCCCATTGCATGATCGTAAAAGTTGATAAATGGACTTGTACTCTCCTCTTTATAGCATGCCCGTATCCTGAATGTAGGAAATTGTCACTTGGAAGGAAATTCTGATAGATATAAATGAAGCAGAAAAACGAATCATGATTTAAAAACGCGAGTATTCCCTGATACTCAAGTTTCTGTGCATGAATGTTCATAGCGCTCCCTTAAAGTTTGCTCATTAACGTATCTATGCTTAGTATACAAAGTATTAAATGCCCGAATCGATTATCTCAGGATGTTTACGATGCGGCGACTTTCGTGAACGGGTCGACGCTATTCACAAAATTATGTGTCAAATTTTATTTTTGGTCATTATTGTTTAGAACACAAAGTTAAAACTGAACAATAATTTTGCACAAATACATACATGTGTGTTTAACATTAAACAGTAAAGTTGTAAGTAATGCAATTTCTTATCCAGAAGCTGATCGGCTGGTCTTTATGGATGCAGTTAAGTTCTGTTTTTTGGAGTGGGTATCCCGAGAACAAAAGAGTTCCAATTCTTTTGAGTAACATTAACATCGATGTATTTTTTTTCGAAAGTGCAACATTGCTGCCTATCAGGAAATGGAAGCCAATGTATTATCGATACACAGAATACATCTAACAATCTGAATTCAAGTGTCCACCAGTATGATTTCAGCAAAAAATAACAAAATACTTCATTTTCATGCAGATATTGCCGTAATATCATTTATCACACGGTAAAATCGTACTTTCAAACCAAATCATGAAAAACCATCAGACGGACAGTACTTTCTTAATGGTTTAAACAGTGCAATTTCCGGTACTATAAATTTTGTATCACCTTAACGTCATTTAGAGGTTGCACTTGGCAAAAATCGATGTCGATGTTAATGTTGTCCATATTTCTGTCACGTGACTTAACGGAAAGAGTAAATGAAATCAAAACGTCACTATGATATCTGGGCGATACATATCAGCTATATTAGTGAGTAGGAGACCTGTACCAGGAATGAAATGATAAAATAAAGACTTTCGAGTAACAATGGTGTATTTTAAACGTAAAATATTGAAAAGCAACATTTATGGTGATTCGTGCACAGTAAGACCTCTTGCAGTCTTCCGTCCGGGTCGACAAGATAAACCTGATATGAAATGATTAGTTTGTCAATTTAGTGACATAAATTGAGTTGATAATTGTATCTTTATTTACTTAACGAATCAAGTTATATCTACCACTCTTGTTTGCCAGGACAGAAGCGCTTGAAGGATCTAACTGCGGAAGCAAGCTGGAGTACCCTGGAAGATGATCCCATACGACTTCATACCTGTTCCGGGATTCGAATCCGGACGGTTAGGTGAAAGGCGCATGCGTTACCAATACGCGACTCGACCAACCAATAATATTTAATATAATCAGTTATAAGTTAAAATTCCTATGCTATATATTGTTTGTTAGTTTTAAGCACATATACGTTATATTGTCTGTTGGGACAATTAATCATCCATAAAGAACGAGAGTCAAACTAAATTTAGAAAGGAAACATTAGTTTAAATAAAACGTTGCCAAAGATTGTACAAAGACACACAAATGGATAACAATTGTAAGTACAACTTTAGAATTAGATACAGTAGAGTCAAATTATAAAGCAAATTGCCTCGTACAGGCGTTTCGTCCTCCTAGGACTCGTGAGTGATGTTAAGGGGACTGATGAATTAATTGACTAGAAGAAATGTCAGTGTAGATAGGTTGGAATGTTGGATGCATTATTCAATAAAATTACAAAATTTTAGTATCTCTGTATCGTTAATGACCCTGGCTGTTAATACGACTTAAAACAACAGTAAACCACACAAAAACATACATTTGATATTCTGCCACTACCGAATTAATCATAACGTGACATACAGGTTACGACAAGCCCTGCGGACAAAACGTTCACAAGCCGTGTCATAACAAAAAATACACAAGTGAGTAACACCTTTCAATACGATATTAAAAAAATGACTCAATTCTTTATCATAAACAAGGATTCATCCTAGGAATATACTAGGCAAATATCATGCCTCTAGGCCCCTTACTGTATGAGAAGTCATTTGAAGCTTTAAAGAAATCTGACCCTTGTGACCTTGAATATAACTCAGTCATTTCTTTTCATAATCTGTTTTGGGCTTCCCCTTGGAACACACCAGACGAATATCATGCCTTTAGGCCTTTAACTTCACGAAGAGAAGTCATTCAAATGTTTTAACAAATCTGACCCTTGTGATCTTGAATATTAGTAAAGGTCATTTGTTTTTCCCAATTTTGTTGGGATTTATCGTAGATATATACCATACAAATATCATACCTCTAGGCCTTTTAGTTCATGAGAAGAAGTCATTTAAAGCTGTAAAGAAATCTGATCTTTGTAACCTTGAAAAGAGGTCGACGTCATTTATTTTCGAAAACTTTGTCGGGCTTCATCCATTCCTGGACAAATATCATGCATCTGGGTCTTTTAGTTCATGAGAAGTAATTGAAAGGTTTTAAGAAATCTGACCCTGTGACCTTGAATATAGGTCAAGGTTCTATCTTTTTGCAAAGTTTATTAGGATTCATCCAACATACCAGCCAAATATAATGCCTCTTGACGCTTTAGTTCATGAGAAAAAACTCATTTAACGGTTTCGAGAAATCTGACCACTGTGACCTTGAATATAAGTCATTGTCTTTTTTAAATTTTTTTATTTTTTGCAAACGTCGGGATTTATCCTAGAAACATACATGTAACAGCCAAATATGACGCCTCTGGGCATTTTAGTTCATGAGAAGAAGTTGTTTAACCATTGTGATTCCTGTAAACTTGAATATAGGTCAAGGTCATTTCTTTTCGCGAATTTTGTTAGGTTTCGTCCTAGGTACATATCAGCCATTGTGGTATATTTGTTATTGAGAAGAAGTTGTTTAAAGAAAAATGTTAACGCCGGGCGACGGACCGACGGACGACGGTCGACGGACGCCGCACCACGGCAGCTCACATGGCCTTTCGGGCCTGGTGAGCTAATACAGGATAATACTGTAATGTTATACTGTACCTATTTACAATGTGTTCGACCTCTATTGTATATCAAGCACGTTATCTTGATATATTTTACTCGTAAGTATACTTGCTGGTCTGTTGTCGTTACACTATTGTTACATTGTTCTCAATTGAGAACGTGATACTACTTACTTTGACTGACAAGATTACCATGGCAGTTGACGTATACAAAACAGAAAACGCTCACCCTTTCGCAATACCTGGTCTCATTCAGCTTGTACTTTTTCAGAGGTCTTCGTGTAAATCGTTTCTCAAATTCAGGGCTGATAACATCACATGACGGTTTTGAAAACGAGGTGTGTCGATTGTATACACAAACACATGTGATGGCGGAGAAAAATATAATGACACAATATGTAAACACCTGCTTTTCGGCTGCCGCATTGGTTATGGACGAGTAGACATTGTTTGAC